ATATATATATATATATATATATAATATATATATACATACACATACATATAATGGTTTATTATGAAAAAAACTGCTTCATTTTTGTTTTTGCAGGTCTTTAATTTCACTTGTTCTGCCTTTAGGGTTTGATTAACCTTTTAGCATTAGATTTTACATTTTGGTCATCATTTTTATATATATATATATATTGTTCTTTTTTTATGCTCTTTACATCAACACATAATTCTAATGTAACATCTTGGTGTGGGTCAGCAGTAACTTTACAGACTTCCATTGCTGAAATTTGGGATTTGGATGCCCATGATGGAAGAAGTAGAGATGGTCTGTTATGTTAAGTCACTGAAAATGATTCAGTAAAAAGTAATAGTTCTGACAGAAATCAATGTTTTATAATACAGAAAATTTAGTTATTTCGATTTAGAACCAGTTTAAATTGAAAATGTTGTATATTATCATTAGAGGTGGGATGATTCCACTTCCAGAATCATTTATACTATCAGTTCTTGAGCAACCAGTACTGATCAATTCTCCTGTCAGTTTGGATGAAATAATGTACAAGAGATTCAGAGTGATAATCATTCTTTTTTTTTAATTATTTGCATGTTTTCCTGTTTAATAAATGAAAATTCTTGTTATGTAAAATCACACGAACCACTAATCTAAAAAGTATATTTCTTTATTACTTATTTTAATTATATTTCCAGTTTCCTATCCTATAACTGTATAAGTTGTGTCATCATATAAAATATGAATACCATATTTTATAGTTTAAAAGAATAAGTAACAAAAGTTCATTGCATGAAGCATGTAACAGCTAAGATACAAATATGAGCAACAGCATGAATGAACTACATGACATTTTGTGCATTCCTTCCATTTCTCACATGCTGAAGTTCTTGAAATGTTTCTTTGTTATAATTTTTACATTGTGATTTTATTTTAGAAAAATATTAAGCCATTGATAACACAAATGACAGAGCTTTTGTAAAGCTGTAAAATTTTTCTAAGAGTTATTGTTTGAATTGAGAATCACAAATACTAATGTATTAGAACCAGAATCTATATATCTTTGCTGTCAACAATAAATTCAGTTGTTTGAAACAAGTTAATGTGTTTATTAATTATGAATATTGTTTATGTAATTTGTTGATTACATCATGAGATAAAATGAACCTGCAAGTCACATTCTTGCTGATTGTGCATGTATTTTAAATGGTTTGGCTTGTGCTAGACTTAACTGAAAATAGTGAGAGAAAAAAAATTACATCAGAATTAAAAATACAGATACATGGATTGGGTGGTGGTTAAAATGACTTACTACAAGTGTAAGGGGAACAAAACTTGTGTTATAAAATATAAAAAGTACCAGGCAAATTTTTTTTGTATAATTGAAATATGTTGTAATATTTACTGTTTGTTAGTACATTTATTTAATAAGAGTTATATGCAGAGAAAAGCTTTTTGTTATTACAGAAACATTCTTTTTTTTTGTTTTGAATTTATTTTAGGCATTAGTAGAGTTTTTAATGACAACTACATGACTATTGAAGAATGGAATCAAAATAATATCTACCTCACAGAAGATGCATGTACTTCAAAAATTCCTCAGACTGTAGCAGGAAGTCATCCATCAGCTGTATCAGAATTGGATGCGTCTTCCTCTGGTTTATGTAATAGCAGAAGAGATTCTTCAATTAAACAGAAGGAGACAGTGAAAGATAAAAGGGGTATTAGATGTTTATTAGATGTGAGCAAAAATGTGTACTGTATTTTTAATGTTTATACCTAGATTTAAATATACAATTTTGCTTAAAGTCAAAATAAAAATTTACATGTGTGCAAGTTTGCATAAACCAAATAGTAATGTTCACAGTGTACTTTAAAGAAATGATAATAGTATATACAAATTAATGCTGGTGTTTTAATTTGTTTATATTGTAATGTTAAAATACTGTCATAAATATGAGTTCAACAAGAAAAAAAAACAATTTTGCTACAGAAAACTGTAAGAATGGAAGCTGCTGTTGACAAAACATTAACAGTATTTATAGTGTTTTTATCATGTCTTTTTGTTCATACAGTAATTCTGTATTCATATAGGAATTTCAATAACATGCAGCATTGATGCTATCAATCTATCCATGTGAATTATTTAGCCAGACACACTTTTTGAAATACAAAAAATTAAATGTAAATACAATTTCTTATTCACAAGAGTAAATTAGATATATCAGTGCTGCATATTCTTGAGACTCCTATATAGATATTGGATTACTGTGTGAGCAAAAGACATCTCAAAACAATGTATATATATAATATAAACTCCACTACTGTATGAAATCTAATCATACTTTTTTAACATGGCCTTGTTCGGAGTTACTGATCAGGGGTAAATTTCCCAAAACTGGTATAATGTAGTGACATGTGGTAATGAAAGGATACTTGACTTCACACGTAATTCTTTAGTAAATAGTACTTGTTTTGCTATGTCTTTTTATGCTATATTTCGATATTATCCAAAGGCTTGAAATTTTGAATGTGGCTAAAACTGAGAAAATAATTTAACATTAATAAGCAGTCAAAAATTAGCACAAGTTACTTTAGCTAATGAGAAAACAAAACGGTTGCATATTGTTCAAAAACCTAGTGTTTCAAAGGGTGCTTCTCAGATTATACTAGACCATTGTGTTGCATCTGGGCATTTAAAGTCTAATAATAAGAAGATACATCCAAGAAAAACATCCAGATGGTATAGTATGTTCTAAGAAGCACCCTTTGGAACATTTTATTACAACTTGCCATGTTAACATGTATGAACATTTCAAATAATCAATGGGAAAATATGATATGGACTGATGAAACAAAGATTGCATTTTCTGGAAACTCATTGAATGTTTTTATAGAGATGTAGCCATGAGATGGAAGCAGGAGTGTATAAGCAAAAAAGTAAAATATGATCAAAATTCCTAAACACATTGCTTTTCTGAATGAACAATATTTTGAGGGGAAAGAAGAGCAGGAGATATAAAGTTATGAAATGGCTATCTCATAGCTGCAATGCAAATTCAGATGAAAATGTATGAAAAGGTAAAATTATTAGTCTGTGGCTTTCCTTTTTGATTCTTGTGTAGAAAATAACAGGAAATGCTAGTTCTTAATCTCCCATAATTATCAGTAGTTAAGGCTAGGAAATGACCTACTAAGAATTGATAATTTGTTTTATCTTGTTCCAAAGTGAACTATACTTTTCTGGTTGGGAACTGGATTTATAAAATTTCTCATAAAGTAATAATTTGATTATATTGTACAACAAAAAATTTGCTATTGGAGAAAACTAAAGTGATTCAGGGTAATTTGATGGTGCTGATTTCAAAACAGTAGTCAGAATTTGTCCATCAACTCTAGATTTTGTAATGCCTCAATATTTTTTCAGCACCACGTGAAATACTATGCAGTCAACTCAGTACAATAGATTTATGCTGTGAAATAATTTTATTTTGACAGTTTAATAAGTAAATGGCATACATTTTTGATAACTTCAAACATTGACTGTATTGTATTCATGTAAAATTCCAAGTAAATTGTTCCTATATTCTATTTGATCTTGATATAATTGTAGTAAATTGCATCACTTTTACTTCATTCCCATACTTACCTGCTCTGCCCAGGAATCACGAAACCCTCGTGCTCAGTTTGCTAGAACATTCAAGTACCTTGACTGAGCATAAAAGGGGAGGAGTCAGGCTCCTATCTCTCAGTTGCCTCTCACTCACTCAGTTGGTCACTTTGCCTCCATTCGCACACAATCAAAACAAAGTCCGATCTTTTCCTCACATTATACCTGTGATATAATCAAATTTTGCAAAACTTTGCTTTTTAAAATCTTTTCAACTCTAGTTCTGTAAACATAAATTATTTTATATTTTTTGAAAATTGTTTGAAATGCTGGCTGTCTCCAGTTCAAGTATAGTCCAAAAGTGCAAAAATCACCCAAATAGTTTCTGCTACATTTGTAGAAAATATATTACAGTTTCGCAAAGAAAAAATATCACATACAAGATAAAGGTAGTTTACTAACACTATTTTTGATGTAAAATTGGTGACCAACAAAATCATTGGGCTCCACATGTGTGTTGTACAGTTTGCACATCTGGCTTGACACAGTGGTTGAAAAAGAAGAGAACAAAAATGTCATTTGTAGTTCCCATGATATGGCATGAGCCAAAAGATCATCTAACTGACTGTTATTTTTGCATGACTAATGTTTCTGGATATTCAGACAAAACTAAACAATACATTAAATATCTAGATATTGCATCTGCAATGAAACCAGTCCCTCATGGGGATGGTCTTCCAGTGCCACATTTACCAGCAAATTGGAAAACAGAAGAGTTATCATGTGAAGAAGACAATGAATCATCTTCATCCTCTTCATCTAGTAATTCTATTCCTGTGACACCTCATCATAAACTGCCTCATCTGATCACACAAAAAGAGCTAAATGATCTGATTTGTGACTTGTCTCTATCAAAGCAGCATGGGTAACTTCTTGGCTCTCATTTACAGCAATGGAATATATTAGATTCAAGAACAAGATTTCAATTTACTGAATTCACCATCAAAGTCTTGTTTCTCACTACAGCATGCAAGATACTTTGTACAAGTGTTGATGCACTAATGGAAAAATTAGGTACTGGACATCATCCTCAAGAATAGACTTTTTATTGACTCATCTAAAGCTAGTCTGAAAGCTGTACTTTTGCACAATGGGAACACTAAGTTATTGATTCCTGTTTCTCATGTGTGAACATGAATGAAACTTATCAGAGCATGGAGATTATACTGGATGTCATCAAATATGATCACCATAGGTGGAACATATGTGGTGATATAAAAGTTATTGCACTCCTGCTAGGTCTGCAGAGTGGGTATATGAAACATTGTTGCTTTTGTGTTTCTGGGATAGATGAGA